TAAATTAATTAATTATAAATTAATTATTTAAAAAATTAATTAATTTAAATATTAAGTATAATTTATAGGATATATACTTTCTTTATAATGCCATTACATATTTCTATTAATATAAAAAGTTTCAGAGCTTTTTATTCACTTTACTTTTTTGGGATTTTGTGAACTGAAAAATGACAGTTTTAGTGAGAATGACCCATATATATATAAATTATAATATAGATAAATAATGTAGATTTGTTGCTATTAAATGCCTCTGTAGCAAGAATATTTTTCGCACAGTTTAACAAAGTAATATTGCAACTGTATACAGACATGCTCCAACATCTGTGACAAAATGCTTGCAAGAGTAAGCTTTGATTTTTCTCTTTATTGAGCTCCAATTGAAAATTCTGTACGTTCGACCCTCAAAATCCCTAATGAATTTTAATTCTTACCGAAAAAATAAAAGTGTTAACAAAATGATTAATTTTACTTGTTGCTAAGATATCCATATACAACAGAACTTATATATCTTATTTCAATACGAATCATTGCGCCTTTAAATCAGAAGAATGATTTTCGTTCACGATGTTCACTGTCAAAAATTCCATATCAAATTACAGTAAATACCAGCATTTAGGGTGCATCATCAATAAATTCGTTTTTTCCCGTAATTCAGTGATTTTACGATAATTATTACTGTAAAAATTACGGTAAATCGGATTTTTTGTTTAACCATAATTTAATCCAGTATTTTTTACGGTGTACAAGAAAGCTCTTGTACACCGTAAAAAATACCGGATTAAATTATGGTAAAAAGTACCGGCACTTAGGTTATCGGAACAAAAAATCCGATTTACCGTAATTTTTACAGTAATAATTATCGTAAAATCACTGAATTACAGGGGAAAAAAATAGGTGTACAAGAAAGCTCTTCTCGTTGCTCCATCTCTCTGCACTCATTTAAATTGCTGGTCTGAAACCAATTGCGGAACATGCTCTCAGAGAATTTCCGTACAAACAATATACACAAAACCTGGTTTAACCATATTTTAACTATCCCAAATCAGCCCAGGTTTACGGCAGTCGCTCTCTTTAGACTTGTAACGGGCCATGACTGTCTGGCCAAACACCTTTTTAGCATAAACATTTTTGACTCTCCTAAATGCAAGCTCTGTCGCCTTGGGGAGGACATGGACTTGCCCCATATTTCCGTCTGTCCTGCGCTCATCTCCACTACTGTGTGTGGACGCTACTGGGAAGCTAGGGCCCGTATGGGCTAAGCATGTCACTATGCATTCAATTCTATTTATCTCTTTTTGCCTTGTTTTTCTTGTTATTTTATCCTTTTTGTTCTTTTAAATTGGCCTGCCATTGGAAATTAAAAAAAACAAACAAGAAAGCTCTGCATCCATATTTGTGCAATAATCTGTTAAAATAAACTTTTAATTTTTGCTTAACTTACAAAATATTGTTGTTTGTCACGAAAGCGAATCTTGGTAAATGTTATTTTATTAAACAACAAATGTTTAAAATTGAAGATTAGAATGTATGGAGATTCTGATATATTTAAAATGGTTTTCTCGGAAACTTAAATTCTATTTTTCACATTAGAAAATGATAGCTGAATTAAGGAACACGGACAAGACAGTTTTTGAATTACAAATCATTCTAAGGAAAAATAATTGTAAGTTGTGTAAAATGTGAAAGCTATTTTTAATATATTATTTGTGGAAAATGCGGGTGCAAACACTTCCTATACATTGAAAATAGGTCAAACTCCTTAGAAGATAATTATTACAAGATGCAGCTTCAAAATCGTCCAGATAAAATTTGGAAAATAGAATGACACCAGAATCAGCTTCATTACTTGGCGAAGTTTTGTTTAAATGTAACTTTTCTGTTCCACGTCAAAATCATGTTAGCCCTACCAAGCTTCGTTTCTTCTTGTTTTTTACCACACAAGAGGCAAGAAATTACGCTGAGTTGCGTAAATCATTCATTAACCATTTCATCGCATTAAGAATAAAAATATACCTCTATTTTCAATTTCTTTGTAAAAAATTTCTATTTGAAATAACTTTTTGACAGGAAAATTAATGTTTTTCAGACTATAATAGTTTTTATGGCATATGATAGATTAATACATAAATAACGGTTATACTGGTATTATAGAAGTAGGTATTAGATACCTAATATAGGTACATTAATAATGGGTGTTGCAGGGAGTATTACCTAAATAACTAAATTTTAAAGTGTCACGTATTGTTATCGTAGTTTTCAAAATCTAACTATTTTACAGAATATATTAATTTCTGGTATAACAGACTCTTTGAATATTTAAAATTCAAAGTTGATTATTATATTAGTAAAATCTTGTTGCTTTTGTACTAATTTTGGCTCTCAACCAATTAAATACTGTTACTCGAATGTTTCTCTTGTAATTCTATGTGGTAACTGTTATCCGTCTGTAGTGACAGTTTCGTATTTCTCTGAACTACGTGCCTACATCTACACGCAGTTCAGATGCATAAATTTAGAAATAAGAGGAATCAGTATTAGGAATCAAAATTAGCATCAAAATAAACTACAACAAAACATGATCTTTTTTTTAAATTTTTAATCTTGATTAAAAATTAAATTAATTATATAGACTGAATTAAAGTTACTGTGTTAATCTTCTACTAAATCTAAGTATTTTTCAAGTCATCTAGGTAAACTGAGATGATATATGCCCTGCGGCAGATGCCAGTTACCATTCAGAATTCTTCTTATTGTGAGTTTGCTAGTATGTTTGAGAGCATCAAAATAAACTACAACAAAAGATGTTCTATTTTTTTTTTAATTTTTAATTTTGATTGAAAAATTAAACTAATTATATAGACTGAATTAAAGTTACTATGTTAATCTTCTACTAAATCTAAGTATTTTTCAAGTCATCTAGGTAAACTGAGATGATATATGCCCTGCGGCAGATGCCAGTTACCATTCAGAATTCTTCTTATTGTGAGTTTGCTAGTATGTTTGAGAGCATCAAAATAAACTACAACAAAACATGTTCCATTTTTTTTTAATTTTTAATTTTGATTGAAAAATTAAACTATTTATATAGACTGAATTAAAGTTACCGTGTTAATCTTCTACTAAATCTAAGTATTTTTCAAGGCACCTAGGTAAACTGAGATGATATATACCCTGCGGCAGATGCCAATTACCATTCAGAATTCTTCTTATTGTGAGTTTGCTAGTGTGTTTGAGAGTCATTGGTTGGTTAAAGCGATCTGAAAAACTTGGCCATGCAACAGTACCCAATTTCGCCAATAGTGTAGATACCATTTGCGAATTTGCCAAGTACGTTTCGCCAATCTTCTTTCTGCGAAACATCTTGCTACTGTACAGTCCCGAATCTCTTAGAATCAAAGTTCCGCATGAAATAAGCTTCTCGCAAGAAGAGCGTTCGTGAATATTCAGATTATATAAATGATCCAGTTCTGGATTATGAAGCGAAAATGAGTGGACAATCTGCCTAAGTAGATCTCGACAAATGTCCCTAATGTACATGTTTGGGTTTAAGTTCTTGGAACGCAAACAAGATCTGTAGCTTTCGTGAGACCAGATGGCGCCATACCTAAGAAGCTCATGCAGAATCACTGGTGATTTTAACTGAATGGCAAACTCTAGGGGATATATCCAGTGGTAGTCATCAAATACTTTGGCGCATGGTATCCGAACATCGCCAAGAAGTACTGCCTTCCTGTTAGCATGTTCCAAGTAGTACCCGAGGATAGTACTACTTTGAAAACTTGATGTCAAATCTTCGCTTAAAGTGAAAAGAAATCCTATGTGTCCATCGTTTTCTAAAAGGGAGTGTAGTAATAAGAGGACGAAGTCGCTATCCTCAATCTTTGATTTGTACGTTTGCTCAATTATGTATCCTAATACCCAATATAAACTGTATCTGTTGTAGATAGGATGGTGATACGTCGATCTAAGACTGCTGTACAATGCATATATTTCGCTCAAATCGCAGGGGCGAAGGAGTTGTCTTCTGTGGCTATGAATAAACTTTTGAATATGAAACAAAATCCAACCACGCTGATGTCCAAGAAATTGAAACTCTGCATTCATATTAGAATTATGACAAAGAGTTTTTTAGGATTATTTGATTAATAAATTCGCGATAATTAAAGAATCTGGGCTGAAAGAAGAATTAATTCTTTATTTTGTTGGGACTATTGTTTTGATTGATAATTAAATATTAACTCGCGTTGCCACTTAAATTATGACGCTTTCAAATAAACTATCTTAAATCAAAAAATAAACATTTATATATATATTTAGTTTTCTTTTTTATTTGGATGACTTAAGAATTTTGAAGTTTTGATTATGATATAGATATCCTTGAATTAATCTTCAAAAACTCTTTCATAATATAGTATATGCATTATGACGCAAAACATGTGAAAATCCCGGTTAAACCTATAAAAATCATGAAAAAAAGTCGCAAATCAAATAAAAAATTTACAAAAACTTCTAATTTAAAGGTTAAAAGCAATTAAAAAATTCGAAATTGGTAGATTTATGAAATTTTATATAATTATTTTATATGTAGTTGATGCAGATTACAAGCTTATCACTATTTCTTACTTCTATCTTATTTTATTAGGGTGTTCAAAAACAGTATTTTTCTTTCGTAATTTATTGCTGGTTTCTTAAATCTCTGAATGCTTTAAATTTAATAGATATCGCAATATTGATACATCGCAAGAATTAAACTTTTCTATAGTTATAAAGTCTATAGTTATAGTTTTCTATAGTTATCTAAGTATTTCCTGCAAAATATTTAAAAAAGAAATAAGTTAGTTTAGAAGTGCTTCCATAATTTTTTCAAACATCGGTATATCATCGCTTTGAGAGAAAACTTATCAAAACTGTGTTGCTGTATTGTTTTGATCATTTTTATACATTGTTTTCATAATAGTTTTTGATTTCAAAATTGGTACAAAAACAGACTGTACTGTCATTTATGGTGAAAATTGTTTTCGAAGTAATTATTGTGGCTATAAAACATATATATTTGTTGAAATGATTTCGTTCTTTAAAGAATTATATCATTTCTTACCTTTTCCGTTTGCTTTTTATTGAACAAAAGCACCGATTATTCAAATAAATAATTGTTTATTCTAAAAAGAATGGTGCATAATTTTCAAAAAAAAGTATAAAAGATATTTTTTAACTTTTCTTAACGTTATGCGTTGTATTGTGCCAAAATATTGTTTAAAAAAAACATTTGTCCTTAAACAAATTTTTTTCAAAGAATACATTCTATCCCGCAAAATTTCTTTTTAAATCCTTTCAACTCTTCTTTCATACCGAGGGAAAAAATTAACTGCGATATGGATAAAAAAAAATGTATTCTTGAGCTTCCGGGCCAAAGTCCAGGTCAAAAATAGTTCTCTCTTTTGAGAGTTTGGAAGATATCGAAGGAAATGAAAGAAAAAAAACTGAACTACACAACAAGACATATTCTGGGACGCATATCAGACAGGTGTATGACAGCTTCATGCTTAATGAGTGACACTTTTTCTTTAGTCAGAGATCTTTTAGTTTAATTTGTTATAATAGTTTTTATCAATCGGAATTTTCAGTCCCAAGAATTTTTTCTTTTCAGAAAAGAACTTCGCTTTTGATATAAAAATAAAGCATACACAATTGTTGAAAATATTTTATCGCAAATATTTTTACCCATTATTTTGTATTTTAAAGAAATTTGTGAGAAATTTTCCTCAAACATTTGAGAAAGTTTATAAAAATTAAAAAAAAAGTAAAGAGAAATGTGACAGCTTTCGCAAAAACAGTTCTTCAATTTCATATATGTTGGTAAAGTGTTGTAAAACTTTTTCATAATAATTTAAAGTACTTAAAAAAGTTAATTTGAAAGTAAATATTTATATATATAACTCATACAAACTTTCCTGGAAACTATTTTCCCATTTCTCTTTGCATGAGGAGGGCTTAGTCATGTTTTTACAAGTTAGAATATACACATAATCTCTAAAAATATTCGGGCAAAACAAACATATTGTTTAACTTTTATGTTTATGATGTATTTTGTCATGACTCAAATCTGATTATTATAAATTGGCAAATTTTACTATTGTTACAAATATTTAATTTTACTTTAGAGTGCTTGCCTGCGAATAATTTCATAACTAAATACTAGAATCTATTTCAAGCCAATTCCACTGTGAAACATATATTTATCCATTTTCTTCATTATTTATAAACCAATCACGAAACATTAAATTGAACTTTAGCAACAAGTAATGGCATACCCTATCCCTTCCTTAATTCAATATTTTATTTTTAAAAAAATTAAACTAAAAAAAGATTTAAATTTTTGACTTTATTATGTTGTTTCCTTAAAAAATATTAAATCTGAACTTTGAATGACTTAACTTGCCTTGAAGTTAGAAGTAAATACATTTTGTTCAACAGCATTTTTGATCACATAAATTCATTGAAGTATGTAACCAAAATGACTTTCAGCATTTGCGTCAGGCTAAGAAAAAAAACTGTAATTCCATTACTTAAGTGGAAACTTTGCCTTCTTACTTTGTACGGCAAAATAAGTCTGATAATAATATGTAAAATCAACAGTCTTGCCGTGATAATAAAGAAAACAGTAACTCCACTACTTTTTAGTAGTGATACTGCCTTTTCACATAGGATGGTAGAATAAGTCTGATAGAAACATGTAACTAAAATGACCTGCAACAATGCCGTGCAATGAATGAGTTTACCGTTTCGTCAACCCCAAGTGGTAAAAAAGAAAGAAATTAGAAATTACGTTTATTTTAGATAAAATTGCAGGTGTCCGATTTCTTCCAATTTTCCTCTGTGCATAAAAATAAAATGCTACAAATGTCTGTAATTAATTTGTAAATATTTGGCAATTCTATGATAAAAGAAAAGCTGTGTAATCCTTTTTATGTATTTAAACTGCTTTCTCATGCTTAAATTTGCGTTAATAATGTTTTTTTTTCGTGTAGCATCATCATTTCAATTTTTTTTTTATTTGGTATCATGTGATGAGCAGCAAAATATTAAAAATAAAAATTTACAAATATCTGGTATAATAATTTTTGAGTTATCATCAATTCCTATTCATTACTGTATGGAAGTTCTCAGAAAAACCATAGTACTTCTTTATGAGTATAGGTAGAGGAAAGGCGCTTAGAGAACATGATAGATTTAATGGTTTGTTTTTAAATGTTTATATTTCTTATCTGCTAGTCGAGCTGTTCTGTTTATGTTCTGTATTTTGTAAAGCTAATCGTTATCTGTCTGTTTGTTTTGTTCTCTTGTCTTCGCGTGAGTTAATCGCACTCACTCACGCCTTGTTCTTTAGACTGGAAAATTTATTTCAAGCCTCTATGTTTTGAGCACAAAACATTTTTTTTTTTAATTTTACCATTGCCCGCGACTAAAGGAGAAATACTTAATTAACCCTTTGATGCAGATAGGAAACCTGTGTCCATTTTTCTGGCACTTCAATTTTAAGCAGAAGCATATTTTGTAAATATAAAAAACAGCCAAATAGTTAGTAAAAAATTTGTCAAATTATCGAAATTATAATTGTACTGAAATTCGAAAGAAAAAAAAAATTCGAAAAATTATTTCATTCATATTCAAAAACTTATCAATAATTGATTTTGTAAATTAAAGAAATTTGAATGATAAATAAGTAATTGTTTTTCTCAGATCTAAATAACTGCAAATAAGTGCACATTTGAAAAATTGTTATTTGGAAGTGAGACGTTTAACCTAAACGCAGAAAAAGACACAGGCAGAAAAAGACACACGCAGAAAAGACATTTCATGCTGTATTTCATAATCATAAACTATTAAAATGCCAAATATAATATTTTTATTTTATTTTGACCTAAATTAATGAAAAATAATTTTTTTAAAGTATGAAAATATGTTTAATTAAAAATTCTGTGTCAAAGGGTTAATGAAATTTTAATTGAATCTGTAAAATAACAATCTATAAATTATCATTCAAAGAATATTTAAAATATAAATTACAAATATTTACGTTTTTAAATGGATGATAAATGGAAAGAAAATAATTCTGTTGGATTAAATGAAGAAATTAATTCTGTTTTCTCCACATCTAAATCTAAAAACGTCATTGAACGTTAATATCGAAAGTTTGACTATTAGATCAGTTTTTTGGTGATGATAGAACATTATTATAAAAGTGATGGGCTCTACGTGTCTGGTGTGTCAAAAATATTATTATTCATTATCGTTTGCGTATGCAAGAATTCTAATATTTCTAAGAAGTATTTATACAGCAGCTATTTGTATGTTTGCCTACTCCTCTTGTATATTGTGAGATTAGTATTCTTGGAACAGTCTTAGGGTGTGTATCAAAACTCTTATACCACAAAAAAAAGAAAAAATATAAGTTTCAGTGCTTGGAAGACGTCTTAAACTCGAACCTCATGACTATGCATATTATCTCTTTGAAATTAATTAAACTTTAATTTAAAACAGACCTTAAAATTTTAACTAAGTTTTGTGCTTTTAGAATTTTTTCCCCGTGTAGCAATAGTGTTAAAAATAAGTGTTATTAGCGATTTTTGTTACATTCAAATTTGCCATTTATGGATGGTTAACCGAGTTTAAACGAACCTGTATGGACAGCTATTATGCTGAACGTCTTAATGTCGTGATTGCACCTGGAAATTTAAAAGACAATCTTAAAAAATTTTATAAACTAACCATTAAATTGATATTTAGCTAACTAAAGATATCAGAATGGAATGAACGCACCATTTTGTATGAATATTTGAGCAAATAAACACTGTTTTCCCAAATGTAAACCACTTTTGATAACAATTAAGCAAAATTAACGTGTTGATGGTCCAGAGATATATTTGGAGCCATTTAAGCGAAATAAACAAAATCAAATCTGAAGTCAGACAACCCATTTATGCCTAGAGTCGTTTTGTAAAAGATGGGTCCTTTTATTCAAAAAAAAAATGTTGCGACACAAATGTTTCATTATCAAGATGTATTTTGCGGAAACAAGATCGCTCTTTCTACCATAATATATTAAGAATAGAAATATTTGTTTTTGAATCTGAAAAGCACAGTTCATTTTTATAGCTGAAGTTCGAAGTAACAATATCAAATTGGTATTAACAATATACACTCCGCTTTTCTCCAAGAGGTGTTTTCATACAAAGATCACTTTTGTGG